TCCAGGAGGCGGCTTGCCTGGCCGCCACAGGAGTTTCCCTGGTGGTCGGGCGCATTGAGGCATTGGGATTACGGGTGGCCCTGGACAAGACGGAGGCCCTATTATTTTATGGGCCCCGTCGTGGTCCACCCCCCGGCGCCTCAATCGAGGTCGGCTCGGTCCTCGTACCGGTCCGGGCCCAGATGAGGTACCTGGGTCTGGTCCTAGACGGTAGGAGGCTCTTCGACGAGCACTTCCGACAGCTTGGTCCGAAGCTGGTGGACACTGCCTCCGCCCTAGGGCGACTTTTGCCCAATTTGGGCGGGGCCAGTGTTCCCACGAGGCGGCTGTACGCGGGGGTCGTCCGGTCCATGGCGCTTTATAGTGCACCGGTGTGGGTGGCGGCTCTGACCGCCCCGAATAGGGCGCGCCTCTGGCGCCCCCAGAGGATATTGGCGGTCCGGCGAACCGGGCGGCGGAGGCGCGCCTATCACCGCCTCATGCCGCCCTGAGTGTGGCCGCGGGTGGACGGGGTGGGTTTCCCCTCCACCCGCATTAGTTTGGCCAGCCGCGAGGGGGCGGCGTCCGCGTGTGCCGGACGTCGCCTAAAGAGAGAAAATAATTTTTTGAGACGGAGCCTGCAACAGGAGCGTGCCGGCGCTAGGAGGGGTCCGGTCTTAATAACAGCTGTTCCCGGATCCCTCCTATTACAGGCGCAGAGTGGCACACCGTGTGGTTTTAGTCGGTCCGAGTCCGACACACCACCCCGCCGCAAACCCCGGTGGGGTGACGGTCCGAGGGGATTTCCACACGTTAAAAAAAAAAAAAAAAAAAAGGGACTGAATTACTGGGGTACCATGCTAGGAAGCCGTTTATCGGCTCTCGGGCAAGGCCTGGTCCGGCAGGATGGGCGTGTCTGCCGGTTGCCCTGCTGGCTCTTCGCTCTTCGGAGCATGGAGGAGGAAACCTCGGTAAAAAACCAGAAGGTGGGGCCCTGTGGGGGCCAGTTTCTCCGCTGATAGCGGTGGAGAAAGGAGGACGGGCTCGGCGTGTACTGACACTACCACCGAGCAGGCAGGGGGACGTAGTCTCGCTGTCACCGTCGGCATATCGTAATCCCGAAAAGAGCGCGAGTTTTTTATTATTATTTTTTTTTCTATCTTTTATGTTTCACTTCATTTTCTCTTGTATTCGTTTTTTCTTCTTAATCTTGTTTTCTCTTCGTTGTTTTTTCACCTTTAAGTCCTTAATAACGGACATACTAGCACACATCAAAACAATGTTGTGATATATTTTATAGTGCCATTGTATCTACTTGTGAATTGCAAAAGAGTGGCCATGAGTTTGTTTGCCCTTTCTTCTCATAAGGCTCAACCCCTTGGAAACGGGCGGTTGTAGATCGGCACAGGCATATCATAGATTTTGTATGGGTTTGATTTTTGTTAAATTTATTTGGTTACTATTTGACAAAACAGAGATTGTTGCTTTTGTGTGTGTTGATCTATGACTTTAGAGTCTACATGGAAGACGATTTCAAACAATTTTGGAAATTTTATGAAATAAAGAAAGTTTGAGTTGAGCGCTGTGGTCAAGTCTAGAGGCTCTGATCGGGGGCGAGGGTCTCGGCTTAACCGCCCGGACCGCGAGGAAGAAAACCTCTTTAAAAAATTCCCCGAATCCCGTGTTCTGGTGCGTGGCCAGGGGATGCATGGCTGATGGGTAGTTCAGTCGTAAGCGCACTCCCAGCCGGGGCACTTGCGGACCCCTCGGTTGGGGAAAATTAATAATAACAAAGGATCGATTCAAACAACAAAAAAGGCGAGCAAAATGGCAAACGAAACGGTGGGAAGCAAGGAGTTGAGGAAGACTGGTGGAGTGGATCTGGCGTCCGCCGATGGTGACGCGGTGTTGGGAACGCCTATCTCGGTGGGGCTCCCAGTAGTAGTCTGTAGTAGACTTACTGCTGGGAGCCGAAGATCGGAGCGGTTGCGCTCCAAATCCGCCACGACTGGCGAGGGTGGAGGCTCCAGCGAGAGCATGGAAGTTGAAGCGGGACCGAGCGAGAGCCGGAAACGCGAACTCTCCAGGGATGGGGAAGACAACCCATCCGTGGAGTCTGGGCCACCTAAGGGCGAGACTGCCCCTGCGCCGGTTGTGCGCCCCCCGCTCGCGTCGTCGCAGCAGCCTAAGGCCGCTGCGCCGACCGCGCTCCCCGTGGTGGGAGGCCGCGTCTCCTACGCAGCGGCGGCGTCGGCCCCGACTCCAGCGGCTCCCCAGGGGCCGAGGAAAGGGGCCAAGGCACCGGCCCAGGCGCCAGTCAAGGCGCCGGCCAAGGCGCCGGCCCCGTTGCCGGCCAAGACGAGGCTTAAAGCGGCGCCGAGGAGTGGAGTGGCTTTCCCTCCGCTCCCCGCTCCGACATCCCTGCCGGGCCCCTCCAACCAGGGTTGGCAGGAGGCTAGGGGCTCAAAGAAGTCCCGAAGGCGGGCTAGAAGGGCTGCTCAGAAAGCAGCCCAAGCCCAGCCTCGTCGTTCGCTTGCTACTTCGTCGTTCGCTCTCGTCGGAGACGGTCGTATCGAAGTGCGCGCTGAATTTTTAAGTTTATTAATTCAGTAAATTCATATTTCCGTTGTTCGAAAATCGGTCCCTCCTGCTCTCGCTTGGGGTAGTGACCATAAGAGGCAGCGGCCATCTTGATTTTTGTACGGCGTAAAGTGAGATAGAGACTCGGTGCTTTGACAATTGTGGCGTGTGTGACTCGGAGTGAGTGAAAGTGACACTAGTGACAGTGACACAACCGCGATAAGTGCGACAGTGACGTTTAACTAGTAATTTTACTAGTAGTGCGCGTGTTCGGCTACAGAGGGCGCAGTGTTAGTGACACATCCCACTAGTTTTTATAGCATGAGGCGCGCTTACCTGCGCCTCATGCCGTGAGTGTGGCCGCGGGTGGACGGTGGGGTTTCCCCTCCACCCGCATTAGTTTGGCCAGCCGCGAGAGGGCGGCGTCCGCGTGTGCTGGACGTCGCCTACAGAGAGGGTCCACTGAGACGGAGCCCGCGCCAGGAGCGGGCCAGCGGTGGGAGGGGTCCAGAAGGCGATAACTACCTGGACCCCTCCTAATATAGAAGCGCAAAGAGGGCACACCGTGTGGTTTTAGTCGGTTCGAGTCCGACACACCGCTCCGCCGAACAGAAGACCCCGGCGGGGTGACGGTCCGAGGTTTAGATTTTTGCTACCCATTCTTAGACGATTATTTAGTCTTCTCTAAAAATGCGGTAAACCACGAAGCTCACTTTCATCAGCTCTTCAGCCGAATGAAGGAATACGGTGTCCTAGTTAACACTTCCAAATGCGTCTTCGGCGTTAGCGAAGTAACCTTTTTAGGATACCATATTTCAGCAGCTGGTACTAAACCTTTAGAGTCCAAGGTCCAGGCTATTAAGGACTTTCCTCTGCCCAAAACCGTCCGACAACTAAGACGATTTTTAGGGATGCTCAATTTTTACAGGCGTTTCGTGCCTCACTTCGCTGCAGTTCAGGCCCCTTTCAATGCTCTCCTCGCTGGTTCTGTTAAAGCCTCTCACCCGGTTGATATCTCGGGCGAGGCCTTGTCAGCCTTTAACCAATGCAAGGAAAGCCTCTCTAACGCCGCAATACTGGCTCACCCTAATTGTCAAGCAGAGACCGGGACGGGCCCCCTTGAAGAGGACCTCGTACGTGCGCCCGCCACTGGCCGCCTCCGGCGACAACGTGACGACTACAGCCGCGGTTTTGGGCGGCTGCAGCTTCCGCGGCCTCTTTTTAGAGGCCGTTGCCACCGGTGGCGAAGGCTGGGCTTGGGCTGCTTTCTAAGTAGCCCTTTTTTTTTTTTTTTTTTTTTATTTAAGTAATTCACAGTAGTAACTTAGATCTAAGACTTAAACTTTATACTCGCCAAACGTATGTTTAACGGCGAGACGCGCTTGTTAATCAATTAAGAAATCCATGCTACACTGTGTGTACATCACACATAGCGAAAATTACAAAAAAAACGTAACAACTTAACTACTTATAACAATTAATTAATTAAACTAAACTATGAAAAATAGTATTACATACTTAAGACAACCCCATGAGAACAATTTCTATATCACAATATGCAGTCATAACCCAACCGCTTCAGTAACCTCAAACAGAATATCCTTCAGACTTCTCTTTAATTTCCCGGTACTTATTTTAGGATTTTCCCTCAATAAGTCTATTTTGTTAAATACTTCGGGTACCTTGTACTTATTTGTTCTTTTTCCATAATAATTTGTGACTTTTGGTTTATTAAATTTTTTTTCCCTAACCCTTCTAGTGTTATAATTATTCTCAACAGCATATTTATATTGATCAGTATAGTAATATTCTAAGCCTATTAAATACTCAACTTTCTTCTCTATTGGTAATATCTTACATATAGGAAATAGTTTTACATAATCTTTTTTACATTCATTTTTAACTTTCTTACTTACCAAATACTTTATTAGTCTTACTCCAGGGGATAAAGCTTTCCGCGTCCGCAGGAGCTACCTAACCACAACCCTGCACGTGTCCCCTGGGTGGTGCCAATTGGATAGCAACGCCGAGTCTCAGGCGGCGGTTAAATAACCTGATCCAGCCAGCCTAACCAGCTTGGCTCTTCGTGTCGGTAGGAAATGACCCTCACAAGCCGTAACCCTGTAGGCAAGTCTTGCAGGACCGGTGGTCTTGGCTTCATTGCCCGGGCCATGAGGTAGAAAACCTCCATAAAAAAATCACCCTAAGTCTACGGTGGGATACGCGCCAAGAGACTGCATGGCTGGTGGGAGACCAGTCACTAGCGACCAACCTCGGTGGACCTGGCAAACGCCGTTGAAGAAGCCTTCTAGGGAGAATAGGCGTCACCTTCCTAGCGACCTGAATATTTCGACCTTACTCGTGGGATTAAAATGAATCAATTAAATACAAATAATCAACAAACCCTACCAAACTCTAAAAAACCGACCAACCCTAATAGCATGATCCAACAAACTCTTCATGAAAGCATGTTTAATCGGAACAGAAGCTACTCGACATCGTCTTTGCCAACAAAGCCTAATGACTATAACTCTGACCAACAAAACAAGGAGAAAGACAATCTGGATTCACAGACCGAGACCCAATTTGCCAGTGACAACATAACCTCAAACCATGAAGAATGGCAAAGGGATGAAATTCCCATCAGGAGAAAGAAAAGGAAAGAAACAAGTCCAATTCTCAACGAAGGGAATAAAAAACAGAAAAATTCCCCAGACTTTGTGATCCCTACACACAATAGTTTCGAACTACTTCATACGGAGCTTACGGATAAAACCAACAATACAGATAAAGTATACACTGTGGCGGTATAGATATCACAAAAAATGAAATAACAGATAACACGGTTCAATATACGTCGGTTAAAATAAAAAAATAAAAAATTAGTACGAAAATACAGAAATGCAAATTTAGAACAAACTAAATACAATAAAATAATTTCCGAATTAGAACACCATTGATAACATGCATCGGTGAACTGTACCTACACGGCAGCGTCGCAATGTCGGCGACATCAAAACGACGCCGCCGCCGGCGAACTTTACATTCTTATTACCTACCTACCAATCACTTCACTTGCTTTTAAAAATCTATTTATAAAGAATGCGATTTTATTCACGTGTTTATTTCGTGAATGCTCGACTAGCTTCCGACCCAGCAGTACGCGTCACTCCTTGAAAAAGTAGTTACCTTGGTTGTCTCGTCATCTTTGTACCGCCCTTACAAAAATTCGGCAGTCTGTAGGACATACACGATTGACTCCATACGTGTCCGTAAAGCAAAAGATGCGTTTTGATAGAGTTTTCCATAAATTAACATCATAGCAGGATATTCCGCGGCTGTGAAGGTCACTCACGGCATTATGGATGTTGATATCGATAACCCAATAAAATTAAAAGACTGATAATGCACTCAGTTTCACACTACACTACACACAGAACCTAATAGTGACTTTTCAAAATAAAATTAGCAGGACTCCTTACATTACGAAGTCTTGCGCACACGATAACATTAATTGTTCACACCATTGCCGTGTATTATGACGAAAGCAATAAGACTAAACAATTATTACCACAAGAAAACTTCTCTAAACAAATATGTATCTCATAAACAACAACAATATTATTATTACGGTTATTTGTCGTGAGCGCATCTACAAGGATACGGAATAGCATAAGCTCGCCGGTGGCCAAGGGCCGACTGACTGTCCTTACTGGATGAACTAATTAAAAACGCGTGTTGCATCGTGATGACGTAATAATCAACATATTTCGTTCGATTCGGGTGTAGTAAAAGCGGCAACGTGTGATTACCGCGCCGCTGATCTATAACTACAGCTGATCGCCGCCTGAGGTCAATGTATTATGACTGCATGTACACATGATGTTGCAATTTACGAAACACAAAAATGAGTCCTGTGGCTAAACTACTGGATATATTTTGTTCATATTTTGCAAATCGCCTAGAAATTAAGGGTAGAATATGTGGCTTAAGTATATGTGAAAGGAAATGAAACTCTCTGTATATACCAAAGCCAGAACCCATATTTGTTACTGGCGTAATTAATGTAAATTCTCTTAAGGAAGTACTAAACAAATTTGTCCAGAGCGATCTTTACCTCATGACCACACTTAGATCTGGACACGTTATAAAAATTATACCTAAAGACATCCAGACATACAAAACGATTCGAGAGAACTTCATTGCCAATAATATCTCACACTATACTTACCAGCTTAAAAGCGAGAGAGCATACAGAGTAGTACTACGCGGATTCCATGCATCAGAAAATACCACAGAAATTTCAAAAGAATTGTATGAAAATGGACATGAAGTGAGACAGATCGTCAATATCAGACATCGAGCTACGAAGGAACCGCCTGTATTTTATGTCGATTTAGAACCAAAGCCAAACAACAAAGGCATTTTCGATGTGAAATTCTTGAATAACATGACGATCACTTTTGAAGCCCCATATAAGAAAAAGGAAATCATTCAATGTAAGAGATGTCAGCGGTTTGGGCATTCCAAGAACCAATGTTTTAGGCCCTATCGCTGTGTTAAATGCGGTAGCGCTCACCCTACAACAACATGCACTAAAAAACCAGACACTGAGGCTACTTGCGCGAACTGTGACGAAAAACACCCCGCTAGCTATAAAGGATGCAAAGTGTACAAACAGTATAGAGAAAGAATTCTTAAATTAGACTCTAAGTCAAAAAAAAGAACAATGCCTAACAATACAGAGATCAAAAACCCGGATCCTCACCCGGGTTCTAAGTCTAAACACACTGATAATCAAAAGTTAATTAAAACCTTTTCAGAAGCAACGAAAACCAATGAACAAAATACTCAACAAGACTCAAAGACAGACATGGCCGACCTTACTGACCTAATGGACATGATGTTTGAAAAACTACAACATTCAATGTTGACAATGATGGAAAAAATTATGGACAAAATGATGGACCGCATGGTTCAGCTAGTCAGCAGCCTGGTTAAAAAATGACCCGAAACCTCCAAGTAGTTACTTGGAACGCCAACGGCTTGACGGAACGACGTCAAGAATTAGAAACTTTCCTCAGAACAGAGATGATTGATATAGCACTAATCTCTGAAACAAGATTTACACCGAAGACACACATAAACTTTAATAATTATACAATATACACAACCAATCACCCAACTGGGAACAGCCATGGAGGAACAGCAGTAATTATTAAAAGCAACATAAAACACTACCCCGCAGCGGAATACCGAACAGAAAAAATACTAGCAACATCTATTAAACTTGTAGACAGCAAACTAGAAACTGTATTCTCCGCTGTGTATTGTCCTCCAAAACATACTGTATCTACCAACGACTTCGCAAAATATTTTTCTACACTGGGTAACAGATTCATATGTGCTGGCAACTGGAATTCTAAACATTTAAAATGGGGATCCAGGCTGACCAATACTAGAGGTAGACAACTTTGTAAAGCCACAGAAGATATGAAGCTAGAATGTCATTCCGGCAGTGAACCTACCTATTGGCCTACCGACAGACAAAGAATCCCAGACTTATTGGATTTTTTCATTGTTAAAAACATGGATAGTAACTTCTTAAACATAGAACCACGAACAGATCTCACATCTGACCATACACCAGTTATATTGAATATCTTTACAACAGTCAATCTGGTAGCACCGCCCCCAAGAATATACAACTTGAACACTACAGACTGGACAATCTATAAAGATATAATCACGACAGAGACAGAACTAAAGACCAAAATTAACACAATAGAGGAACTTGAGAGACAACTGGAACAACTTAATATGACTATCCACATTGCTGCCAATTCTGCAACGCCAAAAAGGACAGGCAAAGGACACCCTCTGAAACATAACTCATATCCAAGGGATATTAAAGAGAAAATACAAGAGCGCCGTCGTTTGAGAAAAGTCTGGCATACTACAGGATATCCAAGTGATAAAGCTGCTTTCAATAAACTCTCAAATGAACTCAAAGCCCTTATTAGCACCCTGGAAAATGAAAATATCCAACACTATCTCTCAAATCTAGATCCAACGAGAGACACAAACTACTCGCTGTGGAAGGCTACCAAGAACCTAAAGCGCCCAAAAATCCACATATCACCTATCAATGATGAAAAAGGAGGATGGGCTAGAACAGATAAAGAAAAGGCTACAATCTTTGCGGAACATCTGAAAACAGTTTTCCAACCCCTCCCTGAAAACAATCCTGAACATACTATGGAAATCAAGGAATACCTGGAATCAGCGAATCAAATGTGTCTCCCATTAAAAAGTACCAGCCCAAAAGAAATTGTGAAAGAAATAAAGAACCTCAAGAACGGTAAAGCACCCGGCTATGACCTTATTGATGCCACATTACTTAAAAATCTGCCCCATAAAGGTGTAATGAAATTAAATAACATCTTTAATGCCAGCTTAAGACTTGAACACTTCCCCGGACAATGGAAAATTGCACATGTAGTCATGGTACCGAAACCTGGGAAACCGCCACACGAAGCCACTTCATACAGACCTATCAGCCTGCTACCAGTTATTGGCAAACTGTTTGAGAGGATATTGCTTAACAGAATGAGAGAACATCTAAGTACAGTATTACCGAACCACCAATTTGGATTTCGGGAAAAACACGGGACAATTGAACAGGTACACCGTATAGTTGACACCATTGGCAGATGCTTTGAAAACAAATTATATTGCTCTGCAGTCTTTTTGGATATAAGCCAAGCGTTTGATAAGGTATGGCATGACGGCCTCCTGTTCAAGCTAAAGAAGCATCTACCGCATTGTTTATTCCGAATACTTAAATCCTACTTAGATAAAAGATGCTTCCAAGTAAAGTACAGAGATGATCTCTCAGATGTACACGAAATAAGATCAGGTGTCCCTCAGGGCAGTATCTTGCTCATTTTTACAGCAGATATCCCAACAACTGACTACACCACGACTGCGACATACGCTGATGATGCGGCGCTACTGTCGACTCATAGCAACCCAGAAACGGCATCATCACAGTTGCAAAACCACCTGACAGAAGTTGAGATGTGGCTGAAGCGTTGGAGAATAAAAGCCAATGAGAGCAAATCGGTACATGTAACATTTACACTTAGGAGAGAAACATGTCCACCGGTAACGCTAAATTGCAAAGTTATCCCTCAAGATAATAACGCAAAATACTTGGGCATGCACCTAGACAGGAAACTTACATGGCAAAAACATATTTGGACAAAGCGCAAACATCTAGATGAAAAGCTGCGGTCACTGAACTGGTTATTGGGACGCCAATCACAACTAAATCCTAACAGCAAGATGCTAGTGTACAAAACTATCATAAAACCAATCTGGACTTACGGAATACAACTGTGGGGAACGGCCAGCAACAGTAATATAGATATCCTGGAGAGATTCCAGACCAAAGCTCTGAGAACAATGTTTGGCGTCCCTCATTGTATAAGTAATAGATATATATACCTTGACCTCGGCCTAAAAACAGTTCGGCAGGAAATAGCTCAAATCAGCCTGAAATATCAGGAGAAACTGGCCGTCCATGTAAACCAACTGGCACACGCACTGAGTGGAGAAGGCGCTCTTCAGCATACCCGACTAAAAAGAAGTGACATACCGAGACTACACAAAAGATTCAACACTTGACATCAAGAGAGTCGTGTGAAAAATTTTTTCATACAATTATGGCTCTTGAAGAAAACATAAACTGAGAAATCAAACAAAGAAGTGGCTTATTGTTGGAAAACAGATTGCCATGGAGCAGAAACAACAAAAAAAAAAAAAAACAAAAAAAAAAAAAGTCTTACTTGTAGGTCTTTAATGTCTTTTAAGTAGCTGATAAAAGTTCGCCCGTACACAATTAGTCCATAGTTAATCAAGGAGTCCGCAAGGGCAAAGTATAACATTTTCATAGTATCTATGTTCAGTACTTTGTTTAGCTGATAGAACCTGCCCAGAACGCATCTTAACTTACTACATACATCAGATATATGCATTGCAAAATTAAAATGTTTATCAACTTTCAAGCCTAAGTATTTAAATTTGTCGACATAATCGATCGCAGTGCAGTTACACCTTAACTTATTTCCGTGCAAGCATTCGTATGTGTGTCCTATTATGGCAAGATTGTCTTTGTTTACATTTTTTGCGCTTTGGTTGTATGGCGAGTGTATATGTATGCATTTTGTTTTCTTGTGATTCAATATAATGCCATTATCATGTGCCCATTTCGTGATGTTTTCAAAGTCTGTCTGCACATTTCTTTGTACTTGCGTGATATCTTTTGAGGCGCATACCACACACATATCGTCTGCATACATGAAAACCTGACATTTGCTTACCACGTTCGATACACTATTGACGTGAATAACATACCCCACTGGCCCAAACACTGACCCGGTCGGCACACCCAAATTCACTGTGGCGTCCTCTCCGGCCACTCCACCGATAACAGTGCGAATTTTTCTGTTTGATAAGTAGTTTCTAAACCAGTTATTGGTGGGGCCGCGTATCCCACATTCATCCATTGCTTGTAATAGTATGCTATGATCCAGTGTATCGAAAGCTTTTTTGTAATCAATGAAAAGCGCTATCAACTGTTTTCCAGAGTCTAAAGATTCATTCACATAGTCCGCGAAGCTCACTAGGGCAGAAACAGTGTTCCTTCCTTTTCTGGAACCATATTGTGCACGGGAGAGTATACTATGTGATTCTAGAAATTTACTTATTTGTCCTACAACTATTTTTTCAACTATTTTGTCTATTACTGATAATATTGCAATTGGTCTGTAATTAACATATTCCAGATGGCTACCGGACTTGTAAATGGGGCGGATTATAGCATTTTTAAGTTGGTCGGGATATACACTTTTCTTTAAGCACGAATTTATAAAAGTAGCTAATAGTGGACTTATTTGTTTAAGTAAATATTTAATATCTACTACTCGTATACAATCCAAGCCGGGGGATTTTCCATTAGCTAACATACTGATTATTTTTTCTACTTCTAACGGATAAACTTTTTTAAATCTAAAACTTTCATTACAAGGATACACGTATTTTTCCCTATCTAAAAATTTTGAATTTTATTTATTTTATTTATTTATTTATTTATTTATTAGACTTACCAACAACTACTTATACTAATACAATTTTATTTTACATTACAAAGCTACATAATAGTATAGTAGCCTATTACAGGCAAGCACAGCATGCACAAATTTTTCACAGCTGATAAATTGAAATTATACAGTCACAACAACAAACAAAACAGTGATTAATGCAGTAGCCATAGGCCACATTAAAACAAAAATAATAATTTTCACATTAGGGTTACTATCAAAAAGTTTGCTACAACCATTAATTGGTTGATAAATGATTACAAATCGTACAGCATACACATTACAATGCACTCGTGATACTTTTGCGGCATGTGGCAAGCGAGTCCGCGTGTACATCTATGACCGCAGAGTAACTATTTATGGTTCTACAAAGACGAGGTATAGTTGAGTTAGCACCAAGTACGGTTCTACGAAGTGGCGGACACAACGGGGTCACAGGTGCACGGGGATTTCTAATGGGAGTACGAAATTTTATTTTGCCTAAAAGCTCGGGGCAATCGATTTTATTTCGTAATAACTTAAACATAAACATAGCGTCTATTATAATACCACGCTTCTGTAACGAAATCATTTTGAAGTGTGCCAATCTGCTATCGTACGACTTTATTTTGTGAGCTATTCCTGCGGTAACGGCCAAATGCCATAGAAACCTTTTCTGCACTCGCTCCAACCTTAGGCTATGGCAAGAGTAATGTGGTCGCCAGACTGTACTACAGTACTCCAGTATAGTACGAACGAGGTAATTGTAGAGTATGATTTTTGTATTGTGCGATTGAAAAACTCTTACGTTTCTAAGCAAAAATCCCAGCATTTTGGATGCTCGTGTAATGGTATTTTCCATGTG